TGCAAACATATGATATTTGTCCTTCTCTGCCTGACTTATTTCGCTCAGCATAACACCCTCAAGGTCCATCCATGTTGCTACACATGGCCAGATTTCATTGTTTCTCATTGCCATGTAGTATTCCATGGTATAGATAAACCACATCTTCTTGATCCATTCATCTGTTGATGGACACTTAGGCTCTTTCCATGTTTTAGCTATTGTGGAGAGTGCTGCTTTGAACATTGGGGTACACATGCTCCTATGCATCAGCATTTCTGTATCCCTGGGGTAAATTCCTAGCAGTGCTATTGCTGGGTCATAGGGGAGTTCTATTGTTAGTTTCCTGAGGAACCTCCACACTGTTTTCCAGAGGGGCTGTACCAGTTTGCATTCCCACCAACAGTGTAGGAGGGTGCCCGTTTCTCCACATCCTCGTCAGCATCTAGAGTTCTCTGATTTGCTCATTTTAGCCACTCTGACTGGCGTGAGGTGGTATCTCAGTGTGGTTTTGATTTGTATTTCCCTGATGAGGAGGGATGCTGAACATCGTTTCATGTGTCTGTTGGCCATCTGGATGTCCTCTTGGAGAAGTGTCTGTTCATATCTTCTGCCCATTTCTTCACTGGGTTGTTTGTTTTTTGGGTGTGGAGTTTGGTGAGTTCCTTATAGATTTTGGATATTAACCCTTTATCTGATATGTCATTTGCAACTATCTTTTCCCATTCCGTTGGTTGCCTATTAGTTTTGTGGGTTGTTTCCTTTGCTGTGGACCACTTTTCTTAAATGCAAAATGGATGAAAAGCCTAAATGTAAGACAAAACCATCAAAATCCTAAAGGAGAAAGCAGGCAAAAATCTTTTTGATGTCGGTTGCAACAATTTCTTATTGGACATGTCTCCAGAGATAAGGGAAAACAGCAAAAGTGAACTAATGGGACCTCATCAAAATAGAAAGCTTCTGTATAGCAAAGGAAACAACAACACTAAATGACAACTGATGGAATGGGAAAAGATATTTGTAAATGATGTATTGGATAAAGGGTTAGTATCCAAAATCTATGAAGAAGTTCATCAAATTTAGCACCTAAAAACCATAAGCCAGGGGTGTCTAGGTGGCTCAGTCAGTTAAGCGTCCAACTTTGGCTCAGGTCATGATCTCATGGTTTGTGGGTTTGAGTCCTATGTCAGACTTTGTGCTGACAGCCAGCTCAGAGCCTGGAGCCTGCTTCAGATTCTGTGTCTCCCTCTCTCTGACCCTCCCCTGCTCTTGCTGTCTCTCTCTCTCTCTCTCTCTCCCTCAGAAATAAATAAAACATTAAAAAAAAACCCAAATAACCCAGTGAAGAAATGGGCAAAAACCACGAATAGACACTTTTCCAAGGAGATATCCAGGGGCACTTGGGTGGCTCAGTTGGTTAAGTGTCCTACTTAAGCACAGGTCATGATCTTGCAGTTCACAAGTTTAAGCCCCTCATTGGTCTCTGTGCTGACATCTCAGAGTCCAGAGCCTGCTTCAGATTCTGTGTTTCCTTCTTTCTCTGTTCCTCCCCCATTTGAGCTGTGTCTCTCTCTCAAAAATAAACATTAAAAAAAAAAAAAAGACATCTAGTTGGCAAACAGACACATGAAAAGATGCTCAGCATCACTTATCATCTGGGAAATATAAATCAAAACCATGAGATACCACTGCATACCTGTCAAATGGCTAAAATTAACAACTTGGGAAACAATAGACATTGGCGAGGACACGGAAGAAAGAACCTTTCGCATGTTGCTGGGAATGCAAACTGGTGTGGCCATTCTGGAATATAATTTTTGAGGTTCCTCAAAAACTAAAAATAGAACTACCTTACGACCCACCATTTGCACTGCTAGCTATTTCTCCAAAGGCTACAAAAATACTGATTCAAAGAGGCACATGCATCCCAGTGTTTATAGCAGCACTATCAGCAATAGCCAAATTATGGAAAAAGCCCAAATGTCTGTTGACTGATGAACGGATAAAGAAGATGTCGGGTGTGTGTATAATGGAATATTAACTTGGTGATCAAAAAGAATGAAATCTTGTCATTTGCAACAACGTGGATGGAACCAGGGTGTATTATGCTAGGTGAATTAAGTCAGAGAAAGACAAATATATGATTTCACTCATACGGAATTTAAGAAACACAATAGATGAACATAAGGGAAGGGAAGGAAAAATAAGGTGAAAACAGAGGGCTGGGCGCCTGGGTGGCTTAGTCAGTTAAGCATCTGACTGTTGATTTCATCTCAGGTCATGATCTCCCGGTTTGTGAGTTCACGCCACATGTCAGGCTCTGTGCTGACTGTGGAGCCTGCTTGGGATTCTCTCTCTGCCCCTACTCTGCTTGTTCTCTCTCTCAAAATATATAAATAAACTTAAAAAAACCCAAACAAACAAGGAAGCAAACCATACAAGACTCTTAAATACAAAGAACAAATGAATTGCTGAAGGGGTAAGGGTGGGGGATGGGCTAAATGGGTGATGGGCATTAAGGAGGG